TTAATATTTCATGGTATAAATTTTCCATTCTTTCTAATATTTAGATTTTCTGTGTATTTATAATTGAAATGTGTTTATATATCAAAATATGCATTAAAATACAAGCTATAAATATTAGTTTATTGCTTGGACTATTAAAGTGTAATATTTATTTGTGTTTTAATTAATTCAGAATATTATTGAGTTTATGTCCACCATTAACTCTTTGTTATGATCCTTTTTCCCTTCTTTGCCCACTTTTTTGATTAATCAAAAATTAATTTCAGGGAGGAAGATGACAAGTTAGAGGCACCCAGAACTGACCCTCTACTCTGCAAAACTGAACCAGAACAACAGGTGTGTGACTACGGTTGACCTGCGGGAGTTGTAGGAAAGCCCGAAGGTGCATCCACAGATAGCTACCAGTGAAACCTGGAAGTATTAGACCTAAGGGCGTAAACAGGGGTAGGGTTTCCCAGTACCGCGGTCAGCAGATTGGCAAGGACAGGTGAAGTTCTCCCTGCAGTGTGGGTACAGATGAAAGAGGGAGTCCCCGGTGATCTCCACAAATGCAGTACCAGCTCCTTGCAGACACAGTCTGACCAGAGAGGAGAAGCCCTGCAAGAAGGTACTGGGGAGAGGTCCTCTGTCCTCCCCAGCACGTCACAAGGGGCCATCAGGTGGAGCCATCTCAGTGGGGCTTCCACTGTCTGAGCTCACTGCGTGGGGAGCAGAAGCCGAAAGAGGGAGTCCCCGGTGATCTCCACAAATGCAGTACCAGCTCCTTGCAGACACAGTCTGACCAGAGAGGAGAAGCCCTGCAAGAAGGTACTGGGGAGAGGTCCTCTGTCCTCCCCAGCACGTCACAAGGGGCCATCAGGTGGAGCCATCTCAGTGGGGCTTCCACTGTCTGAGCTCACTGCGTGGGGAGCAGAAGCCCTGGTATTTTAGGTAGTGACAAATTGAGTGAAATAACCATAGAGAATACACATTACATATTTATTCCCATGTCTAGACACAACTGCAGGGATCTCCAGAAGGGCCTCACTCATGCAAGTCCTGCAGAGCAGTCAGGTCCCTCAGATTCTCACAGTGTACACAGGGCCAAAGCCTACTAATCAAAGTCAATGATACTCCAGGGAAATTACAATATAAAATCCATTTGGAATAATCTCGGCACTACACAATGAACACATACCCCAGGGCACACCATCAAGAGAAGGCTGCCCCCTAAGAAGACCTTGATGTAAATATGGAAGAGACTTCCATCCTGATAGACACGCAAATCTCAACATAGAAACATAAGAAGTATGAAAAAACGAGACAATGCAACTCCTTCAAAAGTTTGGAACTCCATAGCTGCAGAATCCAAAGATGTCCAAGTGGATGAGATGTCAAAGAATTCAAAAGATTGATTTTTTTAAGTGACTAGTGAATTAAAAGAAGATATGAATAGACAGGTGAATAAATTAGGAGACATAATGTAGAGTAGTTCAATAGCAATTAAGTCAAAAGAGATTGTGCAAGAAAATCAAGCAAAAATCTTGGCAATGAAAAACTCAGTAAATCAAATAAAAACTTCAATTGAAAGTTTCACTAATAGACTAGAGCAAGTAAATAATATCATTGCTTAAAGAGAAGGTAGTATACTAGCATATTGAGGCACTAGTTAAGGGAAAAAAACCAAAACTATGAACAGTATACTTAGGATCCTTTGCACCATCTGATAGATTTAGATGAAATAATCAAGCTGCAGGCCAATGACATAGAAAATGTATTCAGTGAAATAGTAGCAGAAAATTTCCAAAACCTTGGGGATGATATAGACATTGAGTTCTTGGAGGCCCTGTGAATCTCAAGTAGACACGACCTGATACAGAACCTTTTCACTGCATGTTGTTAATGTGCTAAAAGAACAAAGACAAAATATTAAAGATTATAACCAAGAAGCATCAAGTCTATTATGAGAAAAACCTATCAGAGAAT